CCAGGAGTTGGAGGTTGCTGTGAGCTGTGAGGCCATAGCACTCTACCCAGGGGAATAGCTTGAGGCTCCGTCTCAAAAAAAAAAAAAAAAAAAAAAGAAAATTGTAGTTCAGTTGATCTTTTCTATTGTTTTTTCAAGTCTCTATTTTATTTATTTTTGTTCTGATATATATATATACACACACTTTTGTATGTGTATGTATGTGTATGTATTTGTATGTGTATGTATGTTCTGATACATATATATACACACACTTTTTTTTTCTTTTTTTTTGAGACAGAGTCACCCTAGGTAGAGTGCTGTGGCATCATAGTTCATAGCAACTTCAAACTCTTGGGCTTGAACAATTCTCTTGCCTCAGCCTCCCGAACAGGCACCAGCCACCATTCTTGGCTAATTTTTCTATTTTTTGGTCTTGTTTTTGTTCAGGCTAGTCTCGAACTCCTGAACTCAAGCCATCCACTCGCCTCGGCCTCCCAGAGTGCTGGGATTCAAGGCAAGAGCTACTGGCCTTATTCTGATCTTTATTATTTTTTCCTTCTGCTAACTTTGGGCTTAGTGCATCTTATTTTTCTATATCTTTGAGCCAGTACTTTAAATTGTTTATTTGAGATCTTTTTTTTTTTAATGGGGTATTTATTGCAGTTTCCTAAGTTTGGTGTGTCTTGTTTTCATTTCCGTTTTCTAAAGATACTTTGCAATTTCCAATTCAATTTTCTTCACTGACTCATTGGTCATTCAGAAGCTTGTTTATTCAAGTCCATTTCTTAACTAGGTTGTTTGCTTTTTGTGATTGTGATTGATGAGATGGAATTCTTTATACATTTTAGATATTAACCCCTTATCAGATACATACTCTGCAGTTGTTTTTCCGATTCTGTGCGTTGCTCTCTCACCCTGTGGGTTATCACTGGATGTACAGATTTTTAAACTTTTTCCTTAGTCCCACTTATCTACTCTTCTCGTATGTTGCCTGTTTTTGATGTCATACAAGAAATCATTGCCACGTCCAAGGTCATAAAGAGTTGCTTCTCTTTTTTTTTTTTGAGACAGAGCCTCAAGCTGTCCCCCTGGGTAGAGTGCTCTGGCATCACAGCACACAGCAACCTCCAACTCCAGGGCTCAAGTGAGTCTCCTGCCTCAGCCTCCCAAGTAGCTGGGACCACAGGCGCCCACCATAACGCCCGGCTATTTTTTGGTTGCAGCCGTCATTGTTGTTTGGCCGGCCCGGGCTGGATTCGAACCTGCCACCTTGGGTATGCATGGCTGGCGCCTTAGCCACTTGAGCCACAGGCACCGAGCCTGAAGAGTTGCTTCTATGTTTTCTTCTAAGAATTTTACAGTTTTCACTGTTGTGTTAGATTTTTTGATCTGTTTTTAGTTTATTTTGAGTTAATTTTTATATAAATGTACAATAAGGGTATAAGCTCATTATTTCCTTATGAGTCAATATCTAAATTTTCCCCAAAATAATTATTTGAAAAGATTGTCCTTTCCCTATTAAATATCTTTTGTACTCCTTATTAAATACCCTTTGTACCTTTGTCAAAAATCATTTGACTATATATAGTCATGTACCACATAACAACATGTTTTGGCCAATGGATATATACAATGGTGGCCTTATATGATTATAATGGCATAATTTTACTGGACCTTTTCTTTTCTTTTTTGAGACACAATCTTACTTTGCTGTCAAACTCCTGAGTTCAATCTATCCTCCAGCCTTTTAAGCCTCCCGAGTGGTTAGGACTTACAGGCACCTGCCACGATGCCTAGCTAACTTTTTTTTTTTAGTAGAGATGGGCCTTACTCTTTTTTGGGGGGGAGGGACAGAGTCTCACTATGTCACCCTTGGTAGAGTGCTGTGGCATTACAGCTCACAGCAACCTCAAACTCTTGGGTTTAAGCGATTCTCTTGCCTCAGCTTCATAAGTAGCAGGGACTATAGGGACCTGCCACAATGCCCAGCTATTTTTTTTTTTTGTTGTTGTTGTTGCAGTTGTCATTGTTGTTTAGCAGGCCCAGGTGGGGTTTGAACCCACCAGCCTCGGTGTATGTGGCCAGTGCCCTAACCACTTAGCTATGGGCACCAAGCCGGGCCTAACTCTTGCTCAGGCTGGTCATGAACTCCTGAGCTCATGTGATCCTCCCACCTTGGCCTTCTAGAGTGCTAGGATTGTAGGTGTGACCTACCACGCCCAGCCCTGTATCTTTTCTATTTTTAGATATGTTTAGACACCCAAATACCATGTAACCATGGTGTTACAATTGTCTGCAGTATTCAGTACAGTAACATGCCACACCGGTTAACAGCCTGGGAATAATAGTCTAGACCACATAGCATAGATATGTAGCAGGCTATACCTTCTAGGTTTGTGTAAGTACAATCTATGGTGTTTATACAACAACAGAATTGCCTAACGTCTCATTTTTCATAGCATATCCCTGTCATTAAGCAAAATATGACTGTACATCAGCATTCATGTCTGGGCTCTTCTATTTTTTTTATTGTTTTTTTTTAATAGGCCCAGGCTTCATTTGAACCCACCAGCCCTGCTACGCCTTTTGGTCTATATATTAGGCACCTTTTTAAAAAATCAGATCATTATTTAACGTTTGATTTTAGATTCAAATGTTTTCAAAGTTTACATATAGTGTATTCCTGATTTGTAAAAACGTTTTGTGTGTGTATATCTGAGAGAGAGAATATTCATATGTGTGGTCCAATAGTAGAACTACATGAGACAAAATATTAATGGCTGCTACCTCTAGTTGAGAAGATCACATGTAGTTTTTGCATTCCTCTAAAAACTTTACTTGCCGGCTTGGCGCCTATAGCTCAACCGGCTAAGGCGCCAGCCACGTACACCTAAGGTGGCGGGTTCGAATCCCCAGCCCGGACCCGCCAAACAACAACGACGGCTGCAACCAAAAAATAGCCGGGCGTTGTGGCGGGCGCCTGTGGTCCCAGCTACTTGGGAGGTGGAGGCAGGAGACTCTCTTGAGCCCAGGAGTTGGAGGTTGCTGTGAGCTGTAATGCCACGGCACTCTGCCCAGGGGGACAGCTTGAGGCTCTGTCTCAAAAAAAAAAAAAAAAACTTTACTTGCCCACTTTTCTGGAATAAACTCTTTTTTTTTGTTTTAGAGACAGTTTCACTTTGTTGCCCTTGGTAGAGTGCTATGGCTTCACAGCTCACTGCCACCTCCAGATCTTGGTCTTAGGCGATTCTCTTGCCTCAGCCTCCTGAGTAGCTGGGACTACAGGCGCCTGCCACAACACCTGGCTATTTTTTTTTGCTGTTTGGCTGGGGCCGGTTTTGAACCCGCCACCCCTCAGTATATGGGGCCAGCGCCCTCTTCACTAAGCCACAGGTGCCACCCTGGAATAAACTTTTTTTTTTAAAATAATGACAGATAAGGTTAAAGACGAGTTTTTTTTTGTTTTTGGCCAGGGCTGGGTTTGAACCCGCCACCTCCAGCATATGGGCCGGCGCCCTACTCGTTTGAGCCACGGGCACTACCAAAGACGTTTTTCAAGTATGTTACTTGGCTAGCCCTGAAATATGAAAGGATAAACATACAGAATGTTTGCGAGTTTCCTGCTGGAAAAAAATTCTGTTTAGTTGGGGGAGCCTGGAGTGAAAGGAATGTAAGATGGATCCTGGGAGGGGTGAGAGTCTGGAAGCCACTAATGTCTGTCCCTGTTTCAACCCCACAGGTCCTAGTTGACTCTGCCCCCATCATCCGTAATGAGATTCCCCGGCACAGACCTGCCCTCCAGCAATGGAGTCACAAGCTCATGGACGGTTTATGTCCACCAGGTACATTGTTTGATTCTTACTTCTGGTTCCCTGTTTCCTTGAGCTTTCAGCCTTCTGCTTTCTCAGAGCCTGGTTCTTTTTTTTTAATTTTCTGAATATTTTATTGGCATGAAAGCTTTTTTTCTCTGTCATAAGCTTTTCACGTAATTAACCAATAGAAAATGTTTAATAAATAATGAACACTGACAATTTTTTACCGAGCTATATTAGCCAAACAATAGTTATAATGGTGTTTTTTTAATTAAATCATAGCTGTGTACATTAATGCAATCACGGGGTACAGTGTGGTGTTTTCATACACAATTTAAAATACTCTCATCAAACTGGTTAACATAGCCTTCATGGCATTTTCTTAGTTATTGAGTTAAGACATTCATACTCTGCTTTTAGAAAGATTTACTTGTACCCTTGTAAGATAAACCATAGAGGTGACCCCACCAATCACCCTCCTTCCACCCATCCATCCCCCTCCCTCTCCCTCTCCTACCCCCCTCCCCATATTCTAAGGCTATAATTAGGTTATAGCTTTCTTATGAAAGCTATAAATTAGTTTCAAAATAGGGCTGTGTAGATTAGATATTTTTTCTTCCATTCTTGAGATACTTTGCTAAGAAGAACATTTTCCAGTTCCATCCATGTAAACATGAAGGAAGTAAAGTCTTTCTTTACTTCCCTTTCTTTAGGGTTTATACAACCCTTTCTTTAGGGTTGCATAATATTCCATGGTGTACATATACCACAATTTATTGATCCATTCGTGGGTCGATGGGCACTTGGGCTTCTTCCATGACCTAGCAATGATAAATTGGCCTGCAATAAAGATTCTGATACAAATATCTTTGTTATAATGTGATTTTTGGTCTTCTGGATATATACCTAATAAAGGAATTATAGGATCAAATGGCAGGTTTACTTTTAGTTCTCTAAGTGTTCTCCAGATGTCTTTCCAAAAGGAACGTATTAGTTTGCATTTCCACCAGCAGTGTAGGAGTGTTCCCTTTTCTCCACATCCATGTCAGCATCTCTGGTTTGGGGATTTTGTGATCAGAACCTGGTTCTTTAATGCACAGGGAGTTTCTGGGTGTCTTGTGTGAGTCAGGCGCTGTGCTTGTGGAAGGGCAGGAGGCCCTGAGCTTCTGGAGCCTGCCTTCTGGGATGTGATGAATGTAACAGTTATACAGGCCTGACAGAGACCTTGAGGGATCGTTGAATAGGGCAGAAAAGGGGTTGGTGAGGGATGGTGACAGTGGGCTGGTATCCCAAAATAGGCAAGACCAGCAGTGCAGAGAGCCTGGATGGGCACCTCTTGGATGAATGATCCCACGCAGTGACTACCTTGGGGGGAAGGGACTGGGGGAGGCTGAGCAGGCAGGAGGCTGCTGGGATGAGTGGAAGGTGGAGAGGTCGGGGGACAAGTAGGAGAAAGTTGGCTCCTATTTTGTGAGTGATTCATATTGCTGGGAAGTTTTCAGCAGAGGCTGCCAGGATCCTATTTGCGTTTTTAGTGCTTGTTCCTGGATTGAGGGAGACAAGACAGGACACAGGTGGAGGGCCCTGTGGAGGACCACTCCCCTGGGCATACTGTGCAGTGATATGTCAGCCCCAGGAGAGGCTTACAGCAACCTCCAACTCCTGGACTCAAGTGAGTCTCCTGCCTCAGCCTCCCAAGTAGCTGGGACCACAGGCGCCCGCCACAATGCCCCACTATTTTTGGGTTGCAGCCATCATTGTTGTTTGGCAGGCCCAGGCTAGATTCGAACCCGCCACCTTAGGTGTATGTGGCTGGCGCCTTAGCCGCTTGAGCCACAGGCACCGAGCTGGTTCACTGTCATGTTAGTATCATCGTATTTGCGTCACATTTGTTACGCACATGTGAGGCAGGAATATGTCCCCTGTTGTGCAAGGGCTTCTGGAGCTGGTAAGAGTGCTCTGCAGTGATTTTTAAAAAACATTTACACATTTGCATTTTATGACTGGGCAAGTAGGAAAGGCTGCCTCTCCCTCATTGCACAGGAAGGCGTGGCAAGGGTCAGAACGTGGAGAAGGAAGAGTCCAGGCCAATGCAGCCACACATATTGAACTGTCACTGTGTCTGTTGTACGTGGTCCAGGATTGAGAGGCGGGACCTGGAGGAGAAAGAAAGACCCTGGATTTATGTGGGGTGCGCTGTCGACATCTGAGGATGGATTCTGTGCAGGCAGTGAGGACAAGTGAGGCACCAAATCCGACTGCTTAGGGCGAATTGGGCCTTAGGAGACAGTTCGTGTAGCAGGGACTGCAGTACACATTTGGGGACTCTAGCACATAGGTGATTCTTGAAGCCCCAGTCTTGTGGAGGTCCCCTGGAAGGGAACTATATAGATGAAGAGGAGGGGGCACAAGGACCTGGGCATGGAGATGTCGGTCAACGTGACAGGTTAGCGAAAGGGCTGGGAAGGAGCTGTCCATGGAGCTTGTAGCTCAGAAAGGGAGATGCTTCCTTCCGCAGAGAGTAGGCACCAGAGCGCATGCCAGAGCTACATGTGCTGAGCCAATTTCAGTCCTTTCCATGACATTGTTAGAAGTAAAATTGGAATTATAGCTGATTATAAACTATTAAAATATTCTCCGTGCCTGTAGCACAGTGGTTATGGCACCAGCCGCAAACAACAAGGCTGACCAGTTTGAACCTGGCCTGGGCCAGCTAAATAACCATGACAACTGTGACAAAAAATAGCCGGGTGTTGTGATGGGTGCCTGTAGTCCCAGCTACTTGGGAGGCTGAGGCAAGAGAATCTCTTAAGCCCAGGAGTTGGAGGTTGCTGTGAGCTGTGATGCCATGGCACTCTACCCAGGGTGACAGCTTGAGGCTCTGTCTCAAAAAAATAAAAAGATTAAAAAAAATAAATTTTTATAATAATCTCAAAAAGAGTTTCATTTACGAAAGGTTACAAAGGTCATGTGAATTAAAAGGTACTTAAGTTCTTTCTCGTGTTCTTGATTAAAGATTTAAGTATTTTTTAAGCCAATTAATTAGGGCTCCTTGACATTGACAGTGGCATTACATATACATGACATATGGCACATGTAAACATAGAGACATATATGAGTAGACATTTTTAGATGAATCAAGGCAAAAAGGTTGTGATTTGAAAACTTAGAGCAGCACATGAAGAGAAGGAAGAAGTTGTGGCTTTTCAGAAGTTGGAGGAAGGAAGCTATAAGGTCTATTTTTAGTGGACGGGATAACTGGAAAGTTATAAAGGGTGAGAAAAAGAACTTTACCGCCTAGTGAATTTGAGGAACTGTGGAATAATACATAGGCGGGGGTTGGGGGGCGGCTGTGTTTTATTTTTTTATTTTAATGATGGAGAAAGGAAAGAGAAATAGAGGTTTTTAAAATTTAGGAAGAGGCTCAGTGCCTGTAGCTCAGTGGTTAGGGTGCCAGCTACTGACATGGGGGCTGGTGGGTGCAAACCCGGACTGGGCCTGCTAAATAACAATGACAATGGCAACAACCACAAAAATAGCCAGGCATTGTGGCGGGTACCTGTAGTCCCAGCTACTTGGAGGCTGAGGCAAGAGAATCACTTAAGCCCAAGAGTTTGAGGTTGCTGTGAGCTGTGATAGCACAGCACTCTACCTAGGGTGACATAGGGAGACACTCGCTCAAAAAAAAAAGAAAGAAAATTTAGGCAGAACAGAGGAGATGGTGTTGGTATTTGCTAGAATTAACTTGCTTACTTTGTCAGAGATTTAGTTGCTTAAGGCCATGCTGGTGTGATGAAGTTGAGTCCATTCGTGCTGTCTTAGGCATGTGCTCTTAAAACCCCCATCTTGGTAAAAAAAATAAATAAGAAGAGGATTTGTATACCTAAAGTACTGTAATATTGTGCTATTAACTGACTTGTGTCCCCCATAATCCGTATGTGAAAGCCTTTCCACCTAATACGATGGTATATGGAGATGGTGTCATTGGGAATTAATTAGGTTTAGATGAGGTCAGGAGGGTAGAGCCCTCGTGATGGGATTAGCGCCCTTTTAAGAAGAGACACCAGACAACTTGCTTGTGCATGTTCTTTCTTTCTTCACATGTTCAAAAAGAAAGGTCTTATAAGCATATAGGAATAAAGTGGCTGCCTCCAGAACTGTAAGAAATAAATGTCTGTTGTTTAAGCCACTTAGTTTGTGGTTACTTTTTTATAGCAGCCCAAGTAGACTATGGCATGCTGGCATTTATATTTACCTACATAACTACCTTTTCTTGTGTTTTTTATTTCTTCATATAGCTTTAAGCTGCTGTCTAATGTCATTTCATTTCAGCCTGAAGAACACCCTTTAACATTTTACAGTACTATGCAGCCCTAAAGAAAGATGGAGACTTTACCTCCTTCATGTGTACATGGATGGAGCTGGAAAATATTCTTCTTAGCAAAGTATCTCAAGAATAGAAGAAAAAGTATCCAATGTACTCAATCCTACTATGAAACTAATTTATAGCTTTCATAGGAAAGCTATAACCCAATTATAGCCCAAGAATATGGGGAAAGGGAAGAGGGAGGGGAGGGGAAGGGGGAGGATGGGTGGAGGGAGGGTGATTGGTAGGATCACGCCTACGGTTCATCCTATAAGGGTACATGTGAAGCTCTCTAAATGTAGAATATAAATGTCTTAACACAATAACTAAGAAAATGACATGAAGGCTATGTTAACCAGTTGGATAAAAGTATTTCAAATTGTATATAGAAACAGCACATTGTACCCCATGATAGTATTAATGTACACAGTTATGATTTAATAAAAGAAAAACATTTCACAGGGCAGGTCTACTAGTAATGTACTCCATTAGTTTTTGTTTATCAGGAATGCCTTAATTTCACCTAATTCTTGAAAAATAGTTTTGCTGGATATAGAATTATTGGTTGAAAGATTTGTTCCCCCCAACATTTTAAATACATTGCTCACTGTGTTATAGCGTATATGATTTCTAATGAGAAATCAGTTGACAGCCTTATTGAGGTTACCTAGTACATACTGAGTGGGTTACTTGCTGGTCTCAAGATTTCACGTTTGCTGGCTGGACATGGTGGCTCACACCTGTAATCCCAGTACTCTGGGAGGTTAAGGCAAGTGGATTGCCTGAGCTTACAGATTGGAGACCAGCCTGAGCCACAGCGAGACCCCCATCTCTAATGGGCATTGTGGCAGCGCCTGTAGTCCCAACTACTTGGGAGGCTGAGGCAGGAGAATCACTTAAGCCCAAGAGTTTGAGGTTGCTGTGAGCTATGACACCATGGCACTCTACTGAGGATGACAAAATGAGACTGTATCAAAGAAAAAAATAGATTTTATGTTTGTGTTTGGCTTTTGTCCATTTGACAACAATGTTTGTTGGTCTTGTTCTCCTTGAATTTAACCTGCTTGAAGATCATTTAGCTTCTTGGGTGTATAGATAATTCTTTTCCAAAAGTTGTGTGCCTGCTTGTTAAATTTATTCCTAAATGTTTTATTCTTTTTGAGCCAAATGAAATTGTTTTCTTTTTTTTTTTTTTT